TATTTCAGTTTTTCTTTTTTAATAAATCTGCAAAAATGTCAACAATTCTGTGTTTTCTGTCAATATGGGGTGCTGTGTGTACATTAATGAGGAAAAAAATTAACTTAAATGATTTTAGCAAATGGCTACAATATAACAAAGAGGGAAAATTTTAAGGGGGTCTGAATACTTTCCGTACCCACTGTATATATAGTGTGTGTGTGTGTGTCAATCAAGTCAATAAGTGCATGCTCTTACATTTGATTTCTGTGTTGCAGGTTAAAAACTTGTAAAGAACCACTGAAGCAAATCTCATTCTTTCTAGAACTCTTCCATAAAGCATCACAGTGCTGTTGCAGTTTTTTTGATGTGAGAGAACGATACAACTCAGAAAAATGCAATGCTCTGCTGGATCTTTACTCACATGTGAACAACTATGAGACTCAAACAGGGAGGAGTTTTCTTCCAGCATTACAGGCAGTTTTCCAGTCTCCTGATGACTGGAACATAGATCTCTCCCAGAGAAAGAGCTCCGTCCTCCTGGAAGTGCTGAAACTCCAAGCAGAGAAGAAACCAGTAGAGCTGAGAGGATGTTCAGAGGAAGAGAGTGAAATGACGAGTTTCCTTCAGTGTCTGCCCTACATCTCACAGCTGAGGTGAGAAGATCTACAGCAACTTATAATTCTGTAATGTTTTTTTTTAGCATTTAGAATATGTTTATAGCTTTCAGTCAAAGTGTATAGCCTAATGCATACACATGGGCAACAAATGTGCACTACATCTTATGCACATTTTTAACAATACCTAAATTCAAGTGCAATTTCTGTCAGGTCATTTCATATTCATATTTCTGTCATTTCATTTCATATTTGACTTATTGTAGTGCCACTTCACCAACACAACTGAATGAATTTGACAATGACCATTATTTATAGACCATTATGCCTATTTTTATACAATAAAATAAAACAAAGAATCCAGTTGTAGAACCAGATGTGAAACCAGCGGCTGTAATGGAACACTGCACTTTGGAAGGTGCTATTCATTTTATGACCACTAGTTGAAAAGCTTTGAGTAATGAACCTTTTTCTGATACAATTATGTTGAAAGCTTCACTGGCTTAGAACGCTTCACTTCGCCATCACTACAAAACAGGCAAAGGTCAGGGCAGGCAGCAAACAATCAGAATCAAGGAAACAGTCCAGGGTCAAAAATACTAAGGCAAGGCAAGAAAACAAGGAACTATAGGGAAAAACACAGAAACTAGAATGACTAGAAACAAACATTCATTCAATACTCAGCCCTGAATGAAAGCAAGAGTGCAGCATTTATAGCCTTCCTGGTTGGAAACGGGAGGAGTGCATAATTGCTTCCTAGGCAGGGTTTCTGGGAAATGCAGTCCGATTGGAAACAGTCTGGGGTGCATTTCCCAAAAGCATCGTTACCCAACTATGGTCGCAAGTTCCGTCGTTACCAACATAGTTCAACGATTTGGTGTTTCCCGAAACCATAGTTAAAACGAACATTCGCAAACGGCATCGCAAACTTGTGTCGTTGGAACGACAGCTCTTCACCTCTGGTTAGAGGCATAGGTCGTTGTTAGTTTGGGGTGTGTTCTATTCAGCGTTATCGACCCTATGAGTGATTTTGAGTGATTTGGAAGAGTTAAAGTTGTGGTGCTTAGGTCTTACCTAATTCGCCTTTAAATATTTTTTTATTACAAATTCAGTTTGAAACTATATAGCAGCGTGGCCCTCGAAATTATTCTCCCTTCGAAGTGACCTCTGAAAGCATTAATCATGCCGATTGGAACGCAGCTTTCGTTTCGTTTGCGCGAAGAAAAGGTGAGATTGTCAAGTGAGTATCTTTGTTAAAACATTCATAAAGACAAATTTATCATATAACAATATTGGTAAAACAGTATGTTAAAGGTTTTCACTTATATTAAGTGTTAACACTCAAATCACAGTATTTTTATGAGAGTGAAATGACGAGTTTCCTTCAGTGTCTGCCCTACATCTCACAGCTGAGGTGAGAAGATCTACAGCAACTTATAATTCTGTAATGTTTTTTTTTAGCATTTAGAATATGTTTATAGCTTTCAGTCAAAGTGTATAGCCTAATGCATACACATGGGCAACAAATGTGCACTACATCTTATGCACATTTTTAACAATACCTAAATTCAAGTGCAATTTCTGTCAGGTCATTTCATATTCATATTTCTGTCATTTCATTTCATATTTGACTTATTGTAGTGCCACTTCACCAACACAACTGAATGAATTTGACAATGACCATTATTTATAGACCATTATGCCTATTTTTATACAATAAAATAAAACAAAGAATCCAGTTGTAGAACCAGATGTGAAACCAGCGGCTGTAATGGAACACTGCACTTTGGAAGGTGCTATTCATTTTATGACCACTAGTTGAAAAGCTTTGAGTAATGAACCTTTTTCTGATACAATTATGTTGAAAGCTTCACTGGCTTAGAACGCTTCACTTCGCCATCACTACAAAACAGGCAAAGGTCAGGGCAGGCAGCAAACAATCAGAATCAAGGAAACAGTCCAGGGTCAAAAATACTAAGGCAAGGCAAGAAAACAAGGAACTATAGGGAAAAACACAGAAACTAGAATGACTAGAAACAAACATTCATTCAATACTCAGCCCTGAATGAAAGCAAGAGTGCAGCATTTATAGCCTTCCTGGTTGGAAACGGGAGGAGTGCATAATTGCTTCCTAGGCAGGGTTTCTGGGAAATGCAGTCCGATTGGAAACAGTCTGGGGTGCATTTCCCAAAAGCATCGTTACCCAACTATGGTCGCAAGTTCCGTCGTTACCAACATAGTTCAACGATTTGGTGTTTCCCGAAACCATAGTTAAAACGAACATTCGCAAACGGCATCGCAAACTTGTGTCGTTGGAACGACAGCTCTTCACCTCTGGTTAGAGGCATAGGTCGTTGTTAGTTTGGGGTGTGTTCTATTCAGCGTTATCGACCCTATGAGTGATTTTGAGTGATTTGGAAGAGTTAAAGTTGTGGTGCTTAGGTCTTACCTAATTCGCCTTTAAATATTTTTTTATTACAAATTCAGTTTGAAACTATATAGCAGCGTGGCCCTCGAAATTATTCTCCCTTCGAAGTGACCTCTGAAAGCATTAATCATGTTATCACCAAAGCCACCCTCTTCAGCCACCTGGCAGAATTGGCCCACACAAAAGAGTCATGTGTTTTACAAAAGAGCCAGACCATTTTGCCACAATGTCAGTGAACATCCCCTGGTGCTGGATAGCCCTTCTTGCAAATGTACAAGGGCTCATTTACCACAGGGCTTGACACTGGGATAAGGATGCCATCAATGATGCCAGTCACTCTGGGGATGTTGTCAATACTGTAGAACTGTTGCTTGGCCAGCTGGATTTCTTCAGGAGTTTGGGGGATAATCAGGATGTTCTTCATAAGCTGTAACAGCAAAGGTGTTACTGCTGTCACAGTTTTGCTGACTGTAGATTTGCTGAGCCCCAGGCCATCACCCACCACGTCTATAAAACTTCCAACAGCATAATAATGCAGTAGCTAACAACTGCACCGCTGAACTTAAGTCCGTTGTTTCTTCTTGTTGCCCTCTGAAGATGTGGAGAAGGCCTGATGTTGAAGGCCCAGGCTGGAGAAGGCCTGATGTTGAAGGGCCAGACTGGAGAAGGCCTGATGTTGAAGACCCAGGCTGGAGAAGGCCTGATGTTGAAGGCCCAGGCTGGAGAAGGCCTGATGTTGAAGGCCCAGGCTGGAGAAGGCCTGATGTTGAAGGCCCAGGCTGGAGAAGGCCTGATGTTGAAGGCCCAGGCTGGAGAAGGCCTGATGTTGAAGGCCCAGGCTGGAGAAGGCCTGATGTTGAAGGCCCAGGCTGGAGAAGGCCTGATGTTGAAGGGCCAGACTGGAGAAGGCCTGATGTTGAAGACCCAGGCTGGAGAAGGCCTGATGTTGAAGGCCCAGGCTGGAGAAGGCCTGATGTTGAAGGCCCAGGCTGGAGAAGGCCTGATGTTGAAGGCCCAGGCTGGAGAAGGCCTGATGTTGAAGGCCCAGGCTGGAGAAGGCCTGATGTTGAAGGCCCAGGCTGGAGAAGGCCTGATGTTGAAGGCCCAGGCTGGAGAAGGCCTGATGTTGAAGGGCCAGACTGGAGAGGGCCTGATGTTGGAGGCCTGAACTTTGAAGGCAAAGGCCTGGTTGATGCACATGCATCTATACCTCCAAGGATCCCTTCCAATGCTTCAGGCCCCAGGATGGCCAAAACTTTCTCTTCCTCTGTAGTGAGAGGAGGAACTGAATTGATACCCCCACCAGTCTTGTTTGCTTCCCTCTCACATGCCGAAGCCCTCCGTTTTGTCACACTTGCGAAGTCCCTCCACTCATTCCTGACTTCTTCTGGGCTTCGTTCGTACCCATAGCCAGCAACATTAATTTTTTGAGTGATTTCTTCCCAGATTTTCTTTTTGTCAGCATTTGTAATGCTGTTTTTCAGCTTTGAAAATAGCTGGATTTTATTATTTTCCACCTCCTCCAAAAGAACTGCAATTTCATGCTTTGAAAATTGGGGTTTTCGTGTCATTTTCATTAACACATGGCTGAATGGCAAGGGGACTTAAATAGGAAAGGATATTGAGCAAAATAAGCAACAGGTGTCCACAAGAGTACATCACAGGTTTTTTAAAAACCCATCTTTTTTCAATTGTGTTTATGTAGCCTATCAATATTAAATAAGAAATGGTATTTATATGAAATTGTGAAATTATAGGCATTGGGATCAGAAAAGAGCACATATTTAACTCTGTGTGTGTATGCATATAATTTATTGCAGAACAAATGAATGTTGCGTTATTACTCCACTCCTACGTAACGTCATTTCAAAAGCGTAATTCGAGTCAAAGAAAAGAGAAAATAAAACCAAATTACTGTAGGTGGCGATATATGCTCATGGCACCAGTCGGCTATTAGATCGAAGAAGAAGAACGTCATAACGACAGTTCAAACCAACATGGTTTAAACGATGGATCTGCAACACAGGTACCATGGTTTTGGGAAACAGTCGTGACTAGCTAGTTTGTTTCCACAACGATGCATCGTACTATAGTGGTTAATCAGCGAGTTACGTAGTTGTACGGGAAACGCATCACACTACAATGCACAATTTTTTCGGACGCCGCTGCGAATATGGGCGGGAGCAGGACATCACGCGCCAAAGTTTCCCCTTTTCCCCTCCAAC